TCTTTTGCACATTTGGATTTGTATCCCTTTGCTATAATAAAATTGTAATTTTAAGTAGAGTGCTGCTCTGAGTTCTATGAGTCATTCTAGTGAATTATGAAACCTGAAGGGAGGGCCAGGTGCCATGGCTCATGCCTGTAATCCCAGCAATTTGAGAGGCCAAGATGGGCGGATCACTTGAGGTCAGGAGTTCGAGACCAGCCTGGTCAACATGGTGAAACCCCATCTGTACCAAAAATACAAAAGTTAGCCGGGCATGGTGGCATGTGCCTGTAGTCCCAGATACTTGGGAGGCTGAGGCAGAGGCTGCAGTGAGCTGAGATTGTGCAAAAAAAAAAAAAAAAAAAAAAAAATCTGAGGGGAACGTGGAGATCCCTGAATTTGTAGCTACTTGCTCTGAAGTGAGGATTGTCCTGGGAACCCCCAAAATTGTGGCTGGTGTCTGAAGAGCAGTCTTATAGAGGACTGTGCTTTTAACCTGTGCAGTTTGGCCTAACTCCAGGTAGTTGGTATCAGAAGTCACTGTAGTCACTGAGGTGCCATGTGATCCCCTACTCTCTCCCCTTTATCTCTTCAAGAATTAGCAACAATGTTGCATGAGCTGAGTCAGGAACTATGGCCCTCCAGCTCCATGTATAAAAGACAGGACTTTCAGGGCCTCAGCTAATGGACCTTGCTCTCTGTCTAGCCCTCAGCAGGAAAGGCGACTTGGATCCATGCCCCTCCCCTTTCCCATCAGCAGGCAGGCTCTTGCACATATATAGGTGTGCTCACAAAAACACACATGCACACTGCTCTGCCTGGCTTGGGCCAGTAAGGGGAACAGGTAGAGGCAGGGCCAAAAACACACAATAAAAACAGGGACTGCAACCCTAAAAAAAATAGCTGGGAGCAAATGGGTTATACTATTGACCAAAATCCTGGAAAAAGGAACCAACAAGGGGAATCATGAAGCAAGAATCAGCTCAAAGAGGCTTGGCTCCCAGGAGTGGATGAAGGGATAGCCAGTGGGCATGGTCTCCAGCCAGCCCTTCACCTGGGGCCAGCTTCCTCACAGCCTGAGATCTTCCAAAGATCCCAGATTGTAGTTTGAGACCAGCCTGGCCAACATGGTGAAACCCCATCTCTACTAAAAATACAAAAATTTTCTGGGCATGGTGGTGCATGCCTGTGATCCCAGCTACTCGGGGAGGTTGAGGCAGGAGAATCACTTGAACCTGGGAGGCAGAGGTTGCAGTGAGCCAAGGTGGCACCATTGCACTCTAGCCCTGGGTGACAAGAGCAAAACTCTGTCTCAAAAAAAAAAAAAAAAAAGACCCCAGACCGCAGCCATTATTACAGCCTACCTTTTCTTCCTGCCCGCTAAATACAGGCATTACCCAAGATTCTGTCTTTGTAACCCTGTGCAGATGACTCCTAAAGCAACATCTCTAGGCATGACCTCTTCTGAGCCCTGAAGTACAGGTTTTAAAGTCCAATTGCCTGTTGGATATCTATCGAATGGCCTGCCAGTATCGCAAACTAAACATGTCCCAAACTGAATTAATCAACTTTTAAGGCCCTCATCCAGCTAACCCTCCTTGTATATTATCTATTTTTGTTCAGAGTGTCACTATACTCTTGGGTGTCTACAACCATACTCTTCAAAATGTGGTACCGGAAGCAGCAGCAGCAGCATCACCAGGGAATCTGTTAGAAATGCGAAATCTCGGGCCCTATCCCAAACCAACTGAATCAGAACCTGCAAATTAACAAGATTCCCCAGATGACTGCTAGCACACTAAAGTTTGCAAAATACTGATCTAAGACAAATCCTCCTTCACATACTACAAACCCTCGTGGATTCTGCCTTGTCTGAAATCCTCTTGTCTCCTGCCACTGCTGTTGTCCAGATCCCTATCATTTCTTCCCAAAACTACTGCAACAGCTTCACTGGCCTTCTAGATTCCAGATATTCCCCCACTGTAACTTACCCTCTATTATGTTGTCCAATTCATGATTTCAAATGCTTCCCTCCTCAAAAATTTCCACTGGCTCCTTGTAGCCCATTAAGCCTCCCAGGTTAGTAGTCAATAATAAGAAATAATACTTATTGCAATATTATATGCCAGACATTCTATTAAGTGTGTTAATTTATCCAATGTGTTAACTCATTCCACCTAACAACCCTATGAATTAAGTATTGTTATATCTCTATTTTACAGATGGGGAAACTGAAGCAAGGAGGGGTTTGGTAATTTCCCCAATATCCCGCTACTTAAGTGGCAGTGCTTAGAATCAAACCTAAGCAAACCGACTCCAGAGTACACATTCCAAATCACCACTGTTCCATACTGCCTTCCTAACTCAGTAGGCTTACATCTGAAGGCTTATCTCCTAATAAATCCCTGTGCTTCAGCCAAAGTGATCTACATGTTGTTCTATATATATATTAGCACCTTCCAACATCTGTGCCTTTGTTCACAAGAGGCTGTGTAGCACAAATGGATATAGTCTGGGCTTCAGAGTCAGATCTAGGTTCAAATATCAGGCATGGGCACTAACTGGATGTAGACCCTAGGGAAATCATCAAACGTCCCTGCATCTCATATCCTCATCTGCACATAAAATGTAGTTAAAAGCCACCTAACTGAAATGATTGCTGTAAAGTTTAGCAAATACGCAGAGGATGTCTAGCACAATATCTAGCATGTAGCAGGTGCTCAGTTATTGATAGCTCTTATGCTCACCTGCAATTTCAAATCCTACCCATCCTTTGAAGTCCTTTCAAATATAACTTCCACCGTGTAGCTTGGTCACCCCAACTGGACATGACAGCATTTTCCTTTAAATTTCTGTAATATTCTTTGTGTAACCTTCTCTTATAGACTGCCTTATTTTAGCATTGTGTACTTGTCTTATCCCTACAACTTAGACTGGTAGCACTATTGAGGTAGGCCCTTTGCATTCCCTACAGCAACTAGCACAGTGCATTACTCATTGTGGGAGTTCACTAAACATTTGTTGAATGGAAGCAGACTGCATATTGAGTAATGAGTGATTAGAACCACTGAAGTTAACTGGGGGAAAACTTCACAGAAGAGGGGTGGAGAAGTTTAAATGAAAGAGAGAAACTAAAAACTACTAAGCACCTATGACAATGTCTTAGTAGGCACTATGTGTATATGATCTCATTTAGTACTCTTCGCTAATTCAGTGATGTGTTCCTATCACCATTTTCCAAATGAGGAAACTAGGGTTCAGCCTGATTTTACTCAAGGTCATAATAGAACTTAACACAACTTACTCTTATTGCCATATCCCCAGTGTCGAAAGGAGTGCCTGGAACATAGTAATGGATGCTCAATAAATATTTGTTGAGTGAATGAAAAGGTGAACAAATGGAGAGAGTAAGCAGCAGAGCTAGGACTAGAATCAAGTTCACTGATCTCCTAGCTCAGTTCACTATGTTAAGTTGCTAATTCAAAACAGAAGAAAGGGGGCCGGGCACAGTGGCTCACACCTGTGTCCCAGCACTTTGGGAGGCCGAGGCAGGCAGATCACCTGAGGTCAGGAGTTCAAGACTAGCCTGGCCAACATGGTGAAACCCCATCTCTACTAAAAATACAAAAATTAGCTGGATGTAGTGGCAGGCACCTGTAATCCCAGCTACTCGGGAGGCTGAGGCAGGAGAATTGCTTAAATCCCAGAGGCGGAGGTTGCAGTGAGCAGAGATTGTGCCATTGCACTCCAGCCTGGGCAACAAGAGCAAAACTCCGCCTCAAAAAAGAAAAAGAAAAAAAAAAAAAAAAAAAAAAAGAGGAAAGAGAAGAACCATTTAGTGAGCAACTACTATATAACCAAACACATTGAGAAGAGGGACAGGAGCAGAATGTTGACCTCATTATACTCCTCAGTTGATGGTACTGATAGTATTAGACATATTACATAAATTATGCCATTTGATCTTTCTAAAAACTCTTTTAAGCCAGGTATTTTTATCTCCATTTTACAGATGAAGAAACACCCTCCACAAAATGACTTGCCCAAACTCACAAAGTGGGTGGATTCTATCCCAGGTAAAGTTTAACTCCAAAGCCTGTGTTCTTAAAATACTTGTCCACACTTTGGGCTTGCAATGGAAATTCTATCCCTTGCAGAGACAGGAGCAAGAGAGTATGGTGAAGTTGGCCGGGCACAGTGGCTCACGCCTGTAATCCCAACACTTTGGAAGGCCGAGGCAGGAGGATAGCTTGAGCCCAGGAGTTCGAGACCAGCCTGAGCAACATGGCAAAACCCCATCTCTACAAAAACTACAAAAAATTAGCCGGGTGTGGTGGCATGCACCTGTGGTCCTAGCTACTAGGGAGGCTGAGGTGGGAGGATCACGTGAGCCTGGGAGGCAGAGGTTGCAGTGAGCAGAGACCATGCCACTGCCCTCCAGCCTGGGTGACAGAATAAAACCGTCTCGATTAAAAAAAAAAAAAAAAAAGTAAAAAATAAGAAAGGAGAACAAGTATGGTGAAGAGAATGGCAAGGAGCTGCGACAGGAATGGCAGGGGTTAAACCTGGCCTACTGGAGTCACGGAACAAGTCAATACTAAAGTTATAAGCAATAAAACGTTAATGTCCCATGGGAAGCAATCTCTCATTATTCCTTCAACAAAGGTTGGTGACAGGTTTTGATAAAAATGAGGGGACAGCAGAAGAAAAGATAACTTAAGAAATCACCTAAAGTTCGCCATTTAACACAATGTAGGGGACGATGACGAGCCCTGGGAGGATGGGAAAGGAAAGATCGGAGTTTCACAAAAAGACCTGGAAGGAACCAGGAGGGCATGGGGCAAAATGGTTAGCGCAAAGAACAGGTGCAGCGTTGGGACTGGTTCTGGCGTCGGGTACAGGAAGGGTCTGCCGGGCGGAAGGGGATCCAGCTCTCAGGCCACGAGCCCGTTCCCCGACTTCTTTAGGGGGCACTCTGCCTCACCCTCGGTCCCTTTTGTCGCAGATCCCAAGCTCACCAGGGGCCTGGGCGATGCTGTCCCCGGGTCTCCTGGAGACTCCTCCGCTTCCGCCATCTTGGCCCTCCTTCTCCCGGGTCGCTCCCACAGGTCTTTGCGGAGCCTGCGACGTGGAGGCCACGGCCGGTCAGCGCGTCATCACGTGCGGCCGCGTCACCTAATGGCGCCTGGCAATGGCCGGCGGCCCCGGCCCTTCGCTCTCCCCCCGTCCTCGGGGTGTCAGGGACAGCTCCGCATCGCCTTGTCTCGCTTCTTCCGGGCCACGGGTCCCGCTAGACACGCTCCGCCTTTAACACTCAAGCCAGATTCTCAGACCGTTCCCTCGCTCTCGCTACCACTGCTGCCTTCTCCACCCCACCGACCCCCCCGCCCATTTCCCGCTCTCAGGAGTTAGCTTGGAGTGCCAGACCCTCTATCACGGCGATTCTAGGAGAGAGCCTGCCTCTTCCTACCCTTCCCCGGCCGCCGAGCGACTTCAAGTTTCCGTGTCCCGGAATGAAGGGTTCAAGCCCCAACCTACTGCTCCCTCCGCCGCCGCCCCTGCCCCGCTGACTCTGCGCCTCTCCTTCTGCTCCCAAGCCTCTTCCCACTTCCTTGACTTTTATAAACCTCTCTACTGCCTCCACACTGACCCTCCAGGATTACTTTTCTCGGGCACCCACCCTGGGGGTGGGCGGGCAAGAAGCTTCGTTGACCAAACTTGTTAATCCCACTTCAAAAGTTGCTAAACACAGTGGTTCATGCCTGTAATCTCAGCACTTTGGGAGGCCGAGGCGGATGGATCACAAGGTCAGGAGATCGAGACCATCCTGGCTACATGGTGAAACCCCGTCTCTACTAAAAATACAAAAAAATTAGCCGGGCGTGGTGGTGGGCGCCTGTAGTCCCAGCTACTCGGGAGGCTGAGGCAGGAGAATGGCGTGAACCCGGGAGGCGGAGCTTGCAGTGAGCCCAGATCGCTCCACTGCACTCCAGCCTGGGCAACAGCGAGACTCCGTCTCAAAAAAAAAAAAAAAAAAAAATGTTGCTAAACCATTTGGCGCAAGTACTGAAAATGTTCAGGGTCTAAAAGAGAGTAACTATTGTGAGAATAACTGAAACAAAAAATACTCTGCATGTCCCAACCTCTTTTCCTTATCTCATCCTTTTGGACTTTCACGGTATTTCTGGTCCCAGTTTACGTTGGCCCCAGGCTAAAATGTAGTCAGACCATGCAGCCATTGTTGACAGCATCAGCATCCAGGATGCCTGAGTACCCTTTGGTGGTGTTAAGCATTTGACCAACAACACAGGGGATGGGTGTGAAATAAAAATGTTTTATATAATACACACACACACACACACACTAGGCAATCCAAGTAGTAAACTTAAGAAGGAAGAATGTGGAATGTGGAGGGACAAAATTCCAAACGAATGGAGGTTTTTTTTTTTTTTTTTTTTTTTTGGTGTTTGTTGTTTTGTTTTATTTACGATAATTCCCCTTCTGACCAAGTACAATTTTAGTACTTGCACAAATACTGGTGGAAGTGATATTAAAATTTAAGCCAGTAGATATGAAATCTTTTTGTAATTGCAAGGGAATATCATCTACAAATGCCCCAACTCCAGCCTCAGCCTCTCACCTCATCCTCCCACCCTATGATTACCAGACCACCACATCCCATCCCACTTCCCTGAGGCCATTGATAATGTCTGCTATTTCCTTGCCAACCTCCAAAATTAGCTATCTCTCCCTAGCCACAAGCCCCTAGCTTCTACCCCTTCTAACCTCATCTATTGGTCCTCTTGGCCACGTATTTCAAGGTAGCCTTGGTGCCAGGTTAAGAGGAGGACAGGCCGGCCGGCGCGGCGGCTCACACCTGTAATCCCAGCACTTTGGGAGGCCAAGGAGGGTGGATCACGAGGTCAGGAGATGGAGACCATCCTGGCTAACACGGTGAAACCCCATCTCTACTAAAAAAATACAAAAAAAAAAAAAAAACAAAAAAAAACTAGCCGGGCGAGGTGGCGGGCGCCTGTAGTCCCAGCTACTCCAGAGGCTGAGGCAGGAGAATGGCTTGAACCCAGGAGGCGGAGCTTGCAGTGAGCCGAGATTGCGCCACTGCACTCCAGCCTGGGCCACAGAGCAAGACTCTGTCTCAAAAAAAAAAAAAAAAAAAAAAAAAAAAAAGATGAGGACAGACCATAGAACAATTGAGGCAGGCAGTGCTTAGGTTACTTGGGCATTATTTCAGACTACCAATGCCTGTTCTCCCCATTTAACTAATAGGGTACTGGTTGGGTGCCAGACAATATGCTTTGTAGAAAGAAAATCAGGAAGGAAGGTTGTGAAGGAAGGGGCAGCATAGGAACAAGCTCCCAAAAATAAGAATTATTCTGTTTTTAGTTGCAAGTGTATCTCAAAAAATTGCCAGACTAACTCAGTTTCTGTAATACACTTACAGTCATTACTCTTTGCCAGATCATGGATATTTACAATACAGCAGGTCTTGCATGACTTGCCCAAAGTTATTCAGAACCTTTGTAAGTGGTAGAAGTGGAATTAATATTTAAGTCAATAGGTATGAAGAACTTTGTTGGCTAATCTATGTTTCAGGACAATATAGCATACAACTCTATGAAAATAACCAGGAAATATTAAGGAAATAATTTCACAGAAAAATGGTCAGAATTGACTCAAAACAAGTGGGGAATTTCATTAAAACGAAATTTTGAAAGGAAAAATTTAAAATACATATTAAAAGCTGGCTGGGTGCGGTGGCTCACACCTGTAATCCTAGCACTTTGGGAGACCGAGGTGGGCAGATTGCCTGAACTCAGGAGTTCAAGACCGCAACATGGCGAAACCCCGTCTCTACTAAAAATACAAAAATTTTTCTGGCGTGGTGGCGTGTGCCTGTAGTCCCAGCTACTTGAGAGGCTGAGGGACGGGAATCTCTTGAATCCTGGAGGAGGAGATTGCAGTGAGCTGAGATCACACCACTACACTCCAGCCTGGGTGACAGAGCAAGAATCCATCTCCACAAAAATAAATAAATACAGGCATACATACATATAAAAAGCAAGATGCAGACAGTTTGTATGATATGCTATCAACTGGGTAAAAATGTAAGGGCAATAGATAGATATCCATACATTGTACTTGAATATTCACAGACTGTGTCCAGAAGGCTACACCAAAAGCTGGTAACTGCCTGTGGGGAGAGAAACTGGCAATAGGGGTGGATTGACTTGCAAGTGAAGACTATTCATTGTATGTGAAGCAGTTTGAAATTTTAAACGTATACATGTATTAGTTTTTTAAAAGTTGCCAAATATCTCCCCTCTTCTCGCACCCTCAAAGTGCTGGACCCAGATGGTTTCATAGGCTATTCATTCAAGCCTTCGCAGAGCAGATAACTCCTACACTGTATAAATTGTTCAAGAGAGAAGAAAAGGCAAAGTTTACAAATTTATTCTAGGGACCTAGCATAAACATGGTACCACATCTGAAAAAGATAGTACTAAAAAGAAAACTATATATCATCTTGCTTGTAAATATATATCTACAGGCCAGGCATGGTTAGATTAAGGCTCACACCTATAATCTCAGCACTTTGGGAATCCAAGAGAGGAGTATCACTTGAGCCCAGGAGTTCGAGATTAGCCTGGGCAACACAGGAAGACCCTGTCTCTACAAAAAAGTAAAAATAAAAACTTGCTGAGAGGCCGGGCACGGTGGCTCACGTCTGTAATCTCAGCACTTTGGGAGGCTGAGGCAAGCAAATTGCCTGAGCTCAGGAGTACAAGACCAGCCTGGGCAACATGGTGAAACCCCGTCTCTACTCAAATACCAAAAAAATTTAAAAAAATAAAAATTAGCTGGGCATGGTGGGGTGCGCCTGTAGTCCCAGCTACTCAGGAGGCTGAGGCAGGAGAATTGCTTGAACCCAGGAGGTGGAGGTTGCAGTGACCCGAGATCATGCCACTGCACTCCAGCCTGGTGACAGAGCAAGACTCCATCTCTAAAAAAAAAAAAAAAATTAGCCGAGAATGGTGGCACACACCTGTGGTCTCAGCTACTTGGGAGGCTGAGGTGGAAAGATTGCTTGAACGAGGGAGGCAAGGCTGCAGTAAGCTATAATCATGCCACTGCACACCAGCCTGGGTGACAGAGCAAGACCCTGTCTCAAAACAAAATTTTTAAAAATATATATATGTACACACACACACACACATGCATACACACAAACACTTTAAACAAATTGTTAGCAAATAAAATATGACAACTTAATGTGACAAAAAATATCTGTCTCAAAACCAACATCATGATATACCTGGTATTCACATTAAATCCAGGAACAAGGCAAGAATACTTTTTCTCCCCCCTGTTATTTAGCACTGTTCTGCAAGTGCCTGAAAATGTCCTTAGATTCTTCCTCGCCTTGGGACAAAGGCCGGCTCCATTCTCCCTGAGGCCATTGGTCCCACTGAATACTCTCACCTATTAACACTAGCTTAAACCTCAGTCTCCAATACACAAGCAACCCTACAGCCCTACAAACTCCACATGCGTTTCCCACTTTCAGCATTTTCTTTTCTTGGCGCTTGCCTTTCCCGAAGTATAGCACTTCCCTGTATAAATATAGCTCTTATCTGTGCACTTAACCCTTCCTAGTGTAACCATAGCTTTTCTTCAGTCTCAAAAAATTACTGACAGATCCTTCCCTAACCTCTTTATTTACCTCCACCTCTTTCCCTTCTCCATTCCTGCCTTGGTCCAACCCAATTCCCTACCCTTACCCCATTCCCTAGTCCTTTCCCACTTCCCTGAAGATTTCCCTAACCAATCTCCCTAACTCCTCTACCATGTACCTCATCCCTGGGCTTTTTCAGCACCCTGACTAAAGATTGCGTTGCCACTGGGCTAGGAGGAGGTCAAGTTATAAAGCGATTGGGGATGCAGTCAGTATTCAGGTTCCCTGGGTTCCTTTTCAGGGTACACATATCGGTTCCCTGTTAACAAACAGGGTAAGAGATAATTATGAGATGAAGTAGAGTGCCCTATATTTTTGCATTAGGCAATTCACAAAAACTCCAAAGTACCTCTGAAGGTAAAATAATGTGATACACATAAACAAATTCACAGAATAGGAATTGCCATAATATTTTTTTTTTTTCTTGAGATGGAGTCTCACTCTGTCGCCCAGACTGGAGTGCTATGGTACAATCTCAGCCACTGCAACTTCTGCCACCACTCAGGCGCAAGCAATTCTCCTGTCTCAGCCTTCTGAGTACCTGGGATTACAGGCACCCACCACCACACCCTGCTGATTTTTGTATTTTTAGTAGAGACAGAGTTTCACCATGTTGGCCAGGCGGGCCTTGAACTCCTGACCTTAGGTGATCTGCCTGTCTCAACCTCCCAAAGTGCTGGGATTACAGGCATGAGCCACCACGCCAGGCCTATTTTTTCAATTACAAGTATATCTAGCAACATTTATAATTGTGTATGCCCACATAAATTACTCTCTTTCAAACCATGAACATTTTCAGTAGAGCAGTTAACGTTTGCTTTCTTTTTTTTTAAATTATGTATTTTTGAGACAGAGTCTCACTCTGTCACCCAGGCTGGAGGGCAGTGGCACGATCTCTGCTCACTACAACTTCAAACTGCCAAGTTCAAGAAATCCTCCTGCCCCAGCTTCCTGAGTAGCTGGGACTACAGGCACATGCCACCA